TTTGTCGTCTTCGCGAACAAAGCTTTCAACAAGTTATGTAACATGTCCATTAGAATCCCATTTTATGTCCATCTTAGAACATTTATTGACAGGAAGATAGAGAAAATAAAAGATTAAGCATTCCAAAGATTGCGATTGATCTGTATCTTGCTATCCCATTTGCTTTAAGACCGAAAAAATACTGGTTAACACATTATATTCCCAAGGGTCGAAGCACAAAAGAGAGAAAGTAAACATGTTGTGATAAAGTCGGTAAGTCGGTTTAACCAATGTTGAGCATTTGTCATAGCAAACCACAGTATGAAGTAAATCAATGTTACTGCTTTCATTTTGTCCTTCTGTTGTAGACTTGCCATGTAACATTTAATGCTTTGGTTTTACAACACAGACCATCTAAATCACACCCGTTTATTTTCTTTTCTGTTTGTATCTGTGTTTCCCAATGGAATAAACATATAATGCATCGTGTAATATGCAGCATAAAGTTTCCCCTTCGGAGCTATCGCGTGCCTGTTTGGATGCCTAACGTCTTTAATATGTATTTCCCTTTGTGCATTCTCCAAATATAAGCATCATAACCGCGTAATGCTAAATGGTTTTATAACTGTTAGTCTACGAATGTGTCACTTAGTAACACCAAAGACTGCTTTGATTAAACTTCTCTTTAGTCACAAATACAGTTTCTTTGATATGTGTTGATTACCTTATGATTCCATCGAGTTCTTAACTCTAAGACAATGTCAGTATTTGTCATTCTAGGTTCGGTATGTAATAAAAATAAGTTTTCTTTTTTTGCGCAGTGACGCTCTATGTGACGACGCGGTTTGTGCGTGTATTATTTATGACCCGACATCTGAGACATCTTTCACACAGCTTGCTTTCGTCTAGCAATGCTTCCCTTGTGTCATTTTCTTTGTCCTGGCAGCCCTCATCATGAATCCGCGTATCCTCGTTACATACAATATGTCAGTTTCAACTTTTCGAATAGACATGCCCTTTATTTATCTGTACATTGCCAAATATAGCCTCGTTCATCCTGATAATGCGTAAATAGGTTATTAAGATGTTGTCGTCAGATAGAAAAAGAAAACGTGTCTAAACCTTGGTATATTGAATGATCATCACCTACACCCTACTAGGTGACGTGTACATCTTTTTATTTCTGGTTTGGATTATGATTACGTTAAATTGGTATTTTCTTGTTGATGTTGTTGTTATTTTTTCAAGTCTAGACAAAACTACACGCATTCATGTTTTACATGTAAACAATAAAGTCGTAATTACATGCATGTTCATATATCTTGTTTGAATAGCATAAGGCATTTTTTCCTTTTGTTAATAAAATTCATTATATGAAGATAAAAGATCAAATGTGTGTCATGCATGCCATTTGTTATACGCAACTGCGCTTTTAAATAAGTCATTTACTGTTAAATCTACGTTCCTTCTAGGTTTAAACATTTTTGTCCCAGCATCACAGAGGAGCCTCAGAAAGGCGAAACAGATGTATCATACAGTGTAATTCATTATTTGGCTCTACTGTATCAAATGTTAAATTTTCTAAAATTGTTTTGAAAGACGCTAAGCATTTGTGTGTCTTTGTACGATCTTTTAGCGTTATTGTCAATAGTGGGATTTCTGCTTTTTTTCATTATAACCCTTAAGTGACTTCTTGATAATTGTCACATTTTTTCTATTTGTCAACAATTTTTCTTTTCAAATTAATGAGGTTTATTGATCTGTACTTGTTTTTTCCGGTGCAAGTTTTTTCACTTGTTCTTTCACAGACATATACAAACCTCTTTCCTAGAGCCTTCGTATGCGAGTATGCGTATGCTGGCCTCATATGCTTCCATCCCACTGTTCTTTTCCCTGGTATTTTTCTATGCGAATTGCTTTTTTATAAATCAGGACGAATGAGTATCATCCATGAACATGTCATAACTCGACTAGATTATTCAACCAACTATAAATGATAAAGGATAAAAAAAGTCTTCCTCGATATCAGTTGTTTCTAAGAATACCCCTGAATCATTCAAGGTATCATGAATATAGTTTTGTTATAAGTATGATTTAACTATGAATTTTCAAGCAACTTAACATCGATTGATCAACATTTAGAGGGACCTGAAACTTCATAACTTGACAAGAGTAGAACGAAATGTGTATATATTTGTGCGTTTGATAGCGATATGACAATGTATGCAGTGTCTGATCAGGTCTGAGGGTAACGTAAATATTCTGCTCGTACATATCCGGTAAGTCAGACGAAGTCCCTCCGGATGGAATCTTATTCTTCCTTGTGGAAGTTCGCAGACTAAATCGATCAAAGAAATTGATCTACCCAATGATATTTGAGAAAATATGTTGCTTCAAAACCATTAACCCTCAATAATAAAAACAGAAAGGATCATATCACAGGTACAAGTCTACCTGCCTAGGAGTCAAGGGGCATATTTCTATTTGATCGGAAGTAGTGGCTTTGGATATTTTAATTTGGTTAGGAGATGTGGGTGGAGGGTCATTTATATATGGCTATGGTTTAGGGTTAAGAGTATTTCAGTGATAGTTATGGGTTATGGTAAAAAGTTACTTTACTGATTATTTCTATGTAGTTATGGGTTGAGATAAAGAGTTACTTTATTGGTTATTTCTATGTAGTTATGGGTTGAGATAAAGAGTTACTTTATTGGTTATTTCTATGTAGTTATGGGTTGTGGTAAAGAGCTACTTTATTGGTTATTTCTATGTAGTTATGGGTTGTGGTAAAGAGCTACTTTATTGATTATTTCTATGTAGTTATGGGTTGAGATAAAGAGCTACTTTATTGATTATTTCTATGTAGCTGTGGGTTGAGATAAAGAGCTACTCTATTGGTTATTTCTATGTAGTTATGGGTTGAGATAAAGAGTTACTTTATTGGTTATTTCTATGTAGTTATGGGTTGTGGTAAAGAGCTACTTTATTGATTATTTCTATGTAGTTATGGGTTGAGATAAAGAGCTACTTTATTGATTATTTCTATGTAGTTATGGGTTGAGATAAAGAGTTACTTTATTGATTATTTCTATGTAGTTATGGGTTGTGGATAAAGAGTTACTTTATTGATTATGTCTATGTAGTTATGGGTTGAGATAAAGAGTTACTTTATTGATTATGTCTATGTAGTTATGGGTTGTGATAAAAAGTTACTTTACTGATTATTTCTATGTAGTTATGGGTTGAGATAAAGAGCTACTTTATTGATTATTTCTATGTAGTTATGGGTTGTGGTAAAGAGCTACTTTATTGATTATTTCTATGTAGTTATGGGTTGTGGTAAAGAGCTACTTTATTGATTATTTCTATGTAGTTATGGGTTGAGATAAAGAGCTACTTTATTGATTATTTCTATGTAGTTATGGGTTGTGGTAAAGAGCTACTTTATTGATTATTTCTATGTAGTTATGGGTTGAGATGAGATTAAAGAGATAAAGAGCTACTTTATTGATTATGTCTATGTAGTTATGGGTTGAGATAAAGAGCTACTTTATTGATTATGTCTATGTAGTTATGGGTTGAGATAAAGAGCTACTTTATTGATTATGTCTATGTAGTTATGGGTTGAGATAAAGAGCTACTTTATTGATTATTTCTATGTAGTTATGGGTTGAGATAAAGAGCTACTTTATTGATTATTTCTATGTAGCTGTGGGTTGAGATAAATAGTTTCTTTAGTTGTAAACGTTGTTACTTGATAGTTTAGTTTGTAGCGTATTGAGAGACATCTCTGCATGGCTGTAGAGTGAGGTTCAGGGGTATTTTTCTTTGCCGCAGAATTGTTGATATATGTGTTCATGGATGGCAGATTACACGTATATTGGTCGGGAAATTTCGAGTCGAATTTCGGGGAAAATGATAAAACGACTTACCATTAAAATGGCTAGTCCCCTCGACAAAATGAGCTGTCGACAATAGATAGTTTATTCATTGGCTGGTTGTTATAATAACGCATTCCTTGATGTGTCTTATACATTTGCTTAACAATATTTCAAAGGTTAAAAAGGTGCATAATTCTCTGTTGTTGTCATGAACAACCCTAACACCACTGAAATATATAGAAAAGGTTCACAGATATGACGCATATTTCATACATGTTGTTTTCGGCTGCATTATATAATCAACTATAATTTGAAGAATAATAAGCCTGCTGATTCACACCAGTAGATTTGAAAATCATCTCTTATATTTCTACAGTATCATCGTCATCATCAGTGTATGTAATTGGAAAATTATTGTAAATTATCAGATATATGAAGACTGCCGCATTTATTGGATTATGGGGTTGGTGCAAATCCCGTTGTAAATGTTGAAATTTCTATAAAGTATGTTGTTTTTTCCTTAATCTTATCAGGATGTAGTTTAATTCATTTGACTTCAATGTATCTGATTTTAAATGTGTGTCTGTTTTACAATCTGCATTTTTACGGTGTTCAGTGTGGAGGTAAATAATTTAATTCATATCAGGTTAAAATCAGCAACATGTTAAGGATGTAAATTTACAGGCATTAAACTGTTATGATGTGGCATTCATAGTCGCATTAAATGACAGAGCCTTCCAAGCAAATATCACATTGAGTGCAATAACAAAATAAGATGCTTGCCTGTAAATTCATTTCGGTGTTTTAGATGTCATTAATCCGTTAAACGTAAATAATCTTTTTTACACACATCTGTCTCAATAGTTCCCTGGTCTACACGGGATCATGTACAGTCCACACAATAGTTCCCTGCTCTACACGGGATCGTGTACAGTCCACACAATAGTTCCCTGGTCTACACGGCATCATGCACAGTTCTCTAACATCTAAACGTGGTCATTATAAATTATAATTTTTTGATATTATTATTGATTGATTTGTTGTAAACGCCACGTCTTGTGTCGCCATGATTGTTTTTTCATACTTTCTGTGTATTTCTATATAAAAATAAAAAGCTAATATATGATTTTATAATTTCAGGATGAAGTTAACCAAGTATTAACGACTAATGTTTGGCTGGAACAGGTATGTAATATATATAATTTTGTCTATAGATTAATACTCAATGTATCACTACTGTACAGCACAAACTAGCTCTTCAAACCATCAATCAATTAATTCAATGACAATTCATGCCCATTAGTGAAAATATTTGTTCTGTAATAACTACCAACATTAGAGCTATTTCCAATGCGTGAGAAAAACAATTACGGGGTCACGAAGTTTATATAATTTTTTTTTAATTTTTAACTTGTAAAGCATTAATTTCTTTTTTCCAATAATAACTGTAAGGGATCCCACATATTCTATAGTAAGGACGAGTTATATAGTTACTAAAGAACCGCACAGTTAACGGTTATTTTCCCATACCGTCAAACAAATGGTAATTTTCTAGACCAATGACTGCTTCCGATTTAATTCTGTCCTCACTTTTACAACGAAATGTCCGTATTTACATAATTGTGCAGTTGTGAGTACTTACTCTTATTACGTTACCGAAGTAATTATAATAATGGCTGGGGATTAGGGAACCTCTTTTCTGATCAAGGGATGCAAAGCAACGTTACGGTTATAACCGAGGGATTTGGCAGCAACAACCATTCCGTTTTATTTCTTCCATTAAGTTTATTTATTATAGTTCACTCAGCTTTTAGCACGAACAATGCACATTTCTCCTCACAAATTTTGACATAGAGTAATTTGCCGGTCGATTACATCTGCAGTTTGTGAACTGAAACTTTGCATGGGCTTCAAAATGCATTCTTGCTTAAACACCGTTGCCTCTATGCTGCAGACGAATGAGACATTTATTCGACATAAATTGACTTCCGGGCATTTCAAATCATCAAAAATGGTTATTTTAGAAAGATTTTACAATGCCGTGCATTATAGTGAATAATTCAATATTCTATCGATTTTATTATTCTGTGTAAATTAAATCAATGGAGCTTATATGGAAAACCTGATATTTCTTTTCCAAATAGTCTGTTGAAATCTACCTTAAAATGATGCCGGCCATACATCGAAACACGCAGTCATTTATTCATTGACATAGTATCACAAAAAGATTACTGTCTAACCTCATACAGAATAATGTTCATTAATGTTGTCACTGAAGAGAAATTCATTACCTGCTAAAAGCATATGTATGACCTCTTACAGATTAGTGGACACCCGCAGAATGACACCCCCTTAAACATACACACTTATTATTAGTGTGTGACCCCTGCAAGATAATAATTGATATCTGTGATAGGTGACCCCTTGTAACAGACTAACGTATGACGTACGGACCCACTCTCCCACACACACAAACCCTCGATGCACACCACACACACGCACGCACACACACACACACACACACACACACACACACACACACACACACACACACACACACACACACACAACACAACACACACACACACACACACACACACACACACACACAATCCTCCTCCTGACCAAGATCTCATTAATGTCTGAACCTGTAAAGACATATAGACTTATACGTGGACGTCAACAGACGTCTTGTCGACTGGTGTGTGACACGTTGCAGACTGTTTTATGATCATGCCCCTACTCCTCCAACAGGTCTAGATTAATGTGTTCTATGTGACCTCCTGCAAGACATTGAGGAACGAACGTGTGACTTCCTTCCTATAATTATCAACACGTAACTCCCTGGGTATTACTATATATAACAACATGCTAATTCATATATAACCTTGGAAGAATGCTATTGGACTGCTTTAAGATTATTGCTTTACATATTGGAAATTGAAACTTGACCTTATAGACTGGGAAATTTAATCTAAGATTGTACGTATGAAACACAATAAGAAACATACTTGAAAACAAATTAATTTTGAATCAGATAGAGAAGACTCTGATAATTAATTAACTGCGTCATACAACTGTTTCGTCCTTCTTGAGCTCGTCAGTGATGCTAAGGGCAAAAACTGATCAAAATGAATCGAAGAAAGGTCAAAATCCGAAGGAGAATTTGCACTAGCCTAATACTTCCATAGATTTTTTATCATTTTCATAAACATGTCACTGTTCGACAGAATTAAAAAGTAACATGCAGATTACGGTATAATCACAAGGACTAAAAAGTCCATCAACAGTGTTCATCACCTGTAATCTGGAGGATGATAAAAAATGAATATTTCATACAAAATTTGAATTACAGTAGAACAGCAAGGTTAAGATCATTTGGACATTTTCCTAATTATGATTAACGAAAATAGAAAAATACATCTCACCAATGACAGTATTATGAATATGAAATCGAGGTTTTCAATCGTGTTAATATTTCTGTACTTATTTGACATATAGTATATATTCCTGTCGTCAAACCTTTGTGTTCTGTCACACTTAAAAAAACACTTATTAAGCAGTATTGTTGACCTATATTGTAAAGAGGTAAAACAATAAAGCGAGATTCCGTTGTTGATTCCTTCTACTCTGCTTCTTAATGGTAAAAAAAAACCATGGAAACAGCATTGTCTATTGTCATAGTGTAACGACAATATGACATCATGTCTGTGTCATAGTGTAACGACATAATAACATCATGTCTGTGTCATAGTATAATGACAATATGACATCATGTCTGTGTCATAGTATAACGACAATATGACATCATGTCTGTGTCATAGTATAACGACAATATGACATCATGTCTGTGTCATAGTATAACGACAATATGACATCATGTCTGTATCATAGTATAACGACAATATGACATCATGTCTGTGTCATAGAATAACAACAATATGACATCATGTCTGTGTCATAGTATAACGACAATATGACCTAATGTCTTTGTCATAGTATAATGACAGAGATATGTCCTACTGTCATTGAAATTGTACATGTATAACAACATATACATGTCAGTATGATCTACCATCAGCGACATTGTAAAACAATAGAGATATGACCTACTTCCTTGAATAATTAGATTGAACAACGCAATTTCATGATGCCTTCGACATTATGTCACCACAAAATGACTTTTTTTCTTTGAAATAAACTGATTCTCTTCTTTTAGCGGCTTTTGCAGCGGATTTATTCATGGTAATATGATTTCGGTAAAGGAAACAAAAGGAAATTAAGTTCGTTCCCACATGCATACATATTGTCTTGGAATAATCGAACATGGCATTGTCAGTTTCATTGAACGAAAAAAACTTATATCATATTAAAAAAAAAATGTTGGTCTCAATTACGTACATTAACATGGACATTGGACTAGTTTGATGCAATTATTAAGGAAACAGAATCCAGAGAAACATTGTTGCAATGCCACAGTATCTGTAGGAGTATTGCCTCTCTGTTGTATGTTCAAGGTCGTGCTGACATTGTGCGTCTTCATGCACTTTAAATCAGCATACATGAGACATCAAAAACCGTTTTTTCGTGACACGAAAATGTGCTCTGTAGAACTATAGAGCTGCAGGCGAATAGCTAAATGGTAGAAACCATCTAACTTAAAAAAAGATCTCTGATAATTTTAAAACTTGCTTCTGTTCCACGATGGCTGATCATCTTGGTGTGAAATTTCATAGGATTAGTGTGACGATTCCCCATACCCATGTTCATCACTGAATGTATTTGGAATTTTGGAATATCCTTAGCGCAAACACGAAATAAACTGATCTTATTCATATTCAGCTCACGACTATGAGACAGGTGATGGACCTTCTTTTAATTAGAACATCTATAATTCAGGAATGGCATACTGCACAGTAGTTTCGAATGCCACCGTACGTTTTAAAACCTTCGTTGGTAAGAAATCACGTATTGCAAGTAGGAAGCGTCATCTCCAACACTATCGGCTTTGTATCATCGGAAATAAATCGTTTGGTATAACATTATATGCTGTAATCGCCAGACAGATAAGAAATCGCGTCATAAGAGCTGATATGGGGAGTATGGTGTATTTCGATACTGATTTTATCTCGAAAAGTTAAGCTATTCTTATCTCGGTTATCTGATCAATCGAGAAATTAAGTTTGTTTCACCTGTCAAATTGTCTATTAGGGGCAAAGTCAACAAAAACAAAAAAAAAAAAAACAGTGTGGAAGACTTCAAAGTATAAAGTAATATTAAAGGAGCACTGCGGCTTGCAAAAAGGCTATATATGTGAGAATTTGCTATATACTCAGATGTTTAGTCAGATGTATCAACACACAGACCGAAACAACTTCATTAGACCAACACGGAGTACGAATACGTGGGGGTTGACTTGAGACAGAATAAGGTGTCGGCTGTACGTCTTGATGAGCCCTCCTCCCACTCCTTTAGCCGAAATATACGTACACTTTATTGCCGTCTTACTATACGAGCCTTGATTTTCCTTTGCACTCCCTTCTTTTATAAGTCGCCCACCTTATCAATTGTGTTCAGTCGTTATGTAAAACCCTTTCTGTCTGTCCATGATATTCAACTTCAGAGGAAATGTCAATGGTATTTTTAATTATGCAAAACAAGATAATTCGACGAATCATAGCTTCCCATCGGTGTTCCTAGGACGAGAAATGGCTACGTACGTGTAGGACGAATTTTTTTATGTAGGTCAAGGTATAGGCTAGGGTGACCTATTTTTTATTTATGACACACGGCCTACACTAAGTTTGAATTGTAGTGAGAATCAATAAGAATAATGCCGGATATTGTTTCTTTGAAGTATATGAAAAGTATAGATGAAGGTAACCGTGATCCACTATACATTACATGACACAATGCCTCGACAAGATGAACTCATATTCCAAGTATGAAGGTCTTGTGGTTTGTAATGTAAGAAATGGAGCCTGGATAATTATTTTCTTCGACGTATGTCAAAGGTCAATATATATATAAGAATGACCTATGTTTTTGACACGCACCAACGTAAACCTTTCTCCTGAAATTCCTGTGGTTAGAAGGGAGACAGGGTGCGGACAAACTATTTCTTTGAGAAAGGTTCAAATGTCCATGTAAGCCTGAGTCATCTAATCTTCATGCGCTACACACCG